GTGTGTGTGTGTGTGTTTGAGTGTGTGCGGGGTGTATGGATTGGGGCCTAGTGTGGGAGAAAGATGAAGCTGCAAACTGTGAGAGCAAGATATGAAAAAGCAAAGTGTGACAGAAAAACAGGGAGACAGGTGAGGGAGAGAAAAAAAAGATTTGTGTAAAGGAAACATTAAAAAAGTTGATTCCAAAACAAAAACAAAATAACAGCACCAAGCAACACACACAATTACACTGAAGGGATATACACATATTCCCTTTTAAACAAAAAAGTGTATTATTTTTTTCTTTTTCCTTTGTTTCGAACCAAAAATTTAAAACAAAAGTCAACATTTGATGAACAAAATCAAAGTTTTAAAGTTTGAAAAGGGTTTTGGAAGAAGCTGAACACTTATATAGACCAAAACCACTATGTCAATAATAACTTCAATATTGACACTTTCACAGCATCTCATCAGAATATTTAAGCACATTACACAACACACAATGGTAATACTCTCAAAATAAATCAGAATACACAATTACAAGTCTCATTAATAGCAGCATATCTTTTAATTATGCCATCTTTATCTTTTTTTTTTGAAGTTGTAAAGTTGTAAGATATGTGATCCTGAAGGGCTCGACCTGTTTTTGACCCTTGATAATGTCCGGTGCAGGTAAATACCTGGTCCTCAAGCATATAGACTGTCCCTGCAGTTATCATTCGGTGCAACAGTTGCAAAGTTTTGTTTTAACAAGCAAATGGTGCAGAAATTTGGTGTTCTTTGTCGATTATTTCTAGCTGTGTTTATCATTTTATGGAAAGTTAAAGGTGAAGCCACAGTGATGCCTCCAGAAACCAAACCAAGCAGGAAAACAAAAAGCCAAAACTGTATTTCAGGAATTCTATTATACTGTTTTTGTATAGATCATTGAAAACTGTCTTGCATTAATATAAGCCTTAAGCAATCACATGTTTTCATTTCTTATTTGACAGTTACTGTTACTAATTATCTGATGCACACAGAGTAATACAGTTAACGTCTTGGTCCGTTGTGTGACTGGGCTACAAAACTAGACTTTGGACTTAAACTTTGACCTATCGGATCTGGGGTGGCCATGGACTCCCCTGGCTCCCGCTTGGAGGTGCCATCATAAAGCAGGCAACGCCAATGCAATACGCTATTTCACAAATTCAAAGGAGTATTTCCGTACAGTCTGGTAGCTGTTTGTTGTGTGTGTGATGACACTATTCCAGTGTGTCCCGGACACAGTAGAGCTCATGAACGGGTCTCCAGACTCCAGCTTCAGTGCAGAAACTTCCTAACAATGTAAATGAACAATAATCACATCTAGGGGTTAAGGGATATCTTTAAATAAGGCAAACTTCAACTTTTCGCAGTGTTTTTTTTTTTTTGCTTTTGTCACGTATTAGACAAACAAGGTTCCTTATCTAACATCTATATCTAAATGAGGACAGGTCAGGTGTGTGTTGACAGTATCACCATCACGAACATCACAGTTCCTTCAGTTGTAGGTGTAATGACTGATTTTAAACATTCTCTGTCTGCGTAGATTCTCAGTCACCCAGGTCACGGTAACCAGTAAAAAGTGACTGAAATTCTCTTTTTTTTGTCATGAAAACACACCTCATTAAACCAAGAAACCTGAGATGAGATGACGGGAGATTGGAAGAGAGGCGAGATGTCGTCCAGTTGCTTTTTACTGAAGCTTCTCTCTCATTACGTTCTTGTTGCTTTGCCTGTTTTTGCAGTGACACTAAGAACGAAGCGTGCAGAAAACCAAAATACAGAGAACACAAGCAACCATTGAAAAAGTCTTTGCTAGTTTTACAACAAGAAGAAGGGAAAACACAAATACAGAGACACTGCAGAGTTAACAGCATATATCTGGTATCAATGATCTCTGAATCGAGTAACAAATGTTTTAACAAACAGCAAAATGCATCTTTGTTTTCAAAACCTCTGTCAAACAGCCTTTCTGTAACTTCACGAGTCACTATGGCAACAACAAGCATGTCTAAACTGTGCTTATCACTTTTATGTGCAGCATTTCTATATTTGTTTGCATTCTTTTCCCTTTGCAGCTGTTTTTCTAAAAGAGTGTTGACTTATTGGTGAAGATTAGTCTGTTCTAGTTTGGGTTTTATCCATTTGCTTGTTAAGTTGCAGTGCATTGAGCTCACACGATTAACATAATTTTCTCTTATTTTATGTCAGAACTTCAGAATACTTAAACAATAATAATAACTTTTACCACAGATACGATTATATCATCACTGCTCATAAATATCAATTTATCCAAGTGCCTGGTCTCTACCAGTACTTACTTTCTACATTGTTTCTAAACGAGGTGCCTATTCAGAAATGAAAATATGTTTTCTGACTGATGCTAAGTGACAATAATCCTTTTATTTTCTAATTTTCTGTAGCTCATCTGAAATGCCAGTGGCAAAACAGACACATTAACAGTGTGCTTTTCTGAGATAATGTAAGAAAAATGAAAAGTTGATATTCAAAATCCTCAGATCCTTGTGTCTGTCAGCTGTCAAAAAATATAAAAGTACATTTTTTAAAAAGTAGGTAAAATGAAGGGTTTCAAAGGAGACCCTTTGTTTGAGTTATCTCAGCTCCCCAGAAGCTCAGTAAATGAGACGCAGGTTTTTGTGTGATGATCCTGAGGTTCTTGCAGACAGTTAGCAAGTAGATTTCATAGCTAACATGTTGATAATTTATAAGAAAAGGCAATCTGTGTATCTGGGGGTGGCAGAGGGAGAGAGAGGAGGGGCAGGCAATATGAGTAGTAATTTACTCAGTTAAGAGCCAAATGGCAGACAGACTGTCGCCCTGCGTGTTATCGCAGAGATTTGCACTCTGCTCGTTTTCTGACTATATTTCCCTGCCTGTGTGTGTGTATGTGTGTGTGAGTATGTTTGTGTGTAGTTTTGTGTGCATATGCGCACAGTTGGGTAGTAGCTTTAGAGTACCAGCATTATCCGAACATTTCTGTGTATATTGTACTGTAAATGATAAAGACTTTATTGCTTTACCAGCTCTCGTATGTGTACATACTGGTACATGTTTGTTCATAAACTGAGATTACGGTAGATGACTGTAGGTGGATTTATATGTGTATCTGCATGTGTTGGAGTTATATGTACTTGTGTGTTTGTACTCATGTGAATGAATATGTGTGTTTTAACGAATCTTGGGAGGCTTCATTGCACTCATCAGGATATCAGGGTTGAGAAATGGCTGTGTCACTGCAGTGACAGTTGTGTGTGTGTGTGAGGATTGATGGGCCTGAGTCTGACAGCAGCCATATTGTGGAGCGAGAGAAGGATGGAGGGATGGAGGGAGGAACAGGGGGAGGAGTATTGTAGCCCCCTCATCCTCACAGGTTAATATTGACACAGCCTGGGCAGATACAGCGCCTGAAGCGCTCATCAATCACTTTCAGTGGACCCATACAAATACACTCATATACACACTCACGCTCTGGCAGTGAGAAGGACCACACACACTGCAGGAACACTGCACAGAAGAAAAAAAAACACGTGTTCAAACATCATTGGCCTGTTTAGACAAGTGAACATAGGAAGAAATATGTTTTTATGAATGCCAGACACACAAACATGAATGTCAAACTTCCTCTGTTGGGTTTGTCATAAACATCTCTTTTATTTTAAAAGTTCTACTTAAATAAGCGCAACAACAATTTTGAGAACTTCGCAAAACAAACAGTTGTACAGCAAATCTAGATTAATCAAGCAAATATGTTTTCAAAAGTACCACTTTGCACACTTTATGCGTAACCCTGCGTTGCAAATTATGGTTGCCATAACATTGTTGTTAATCATTTCAGAGAGAAAGAAAAAACAAGTTCCCTTGACAAACAAAACAATTAATTAATGCAACTTTCCATCCATCAATCATTGTGTGTGTCACTGAATTACCATAATCTGTGCATGGTGGCTGTTTTAAGAGCAAACAGTTAATTTCCAAACTATAAATCACAAAGTGTCTCTCTACCCCTCTGTGCGCTTTGACAGCTTCGTCTCTCATTGCTACAGATGAAGGCTTACTTGAAACCACTTCAGTTTTACTAAATTGAATTAAATCATATGTGCAATAAAAAGCAGAGTCTAACAAAGTGTCCCATTGAGATGTAACCAAAATGTTAGGAAGTGTTTATTAATCGTTTTAGGGCAATGTGACAAACTGTCATCTTTTTCTAACTTTCAGGACTGGCGTGGTTACCTGGACGGGCTGAAATCATTCAGTCATAGCCATGGATACGACAGCCTTGTTGTTCTCTTGTCCATCTGTGATACAGTTCATCATCCCCGCCAGCAGGTGGCTGTCTACTCAAACAACACAGATCTCTTAAACCAGGTAAATCAGCTGAGAGACCACCGAACAGACATCTGTCCCAAGAGTGAAACACAAGTACTTCTTTGTTAGAAACAGCAATGTATTAATGTTTGTTTTGTCTGATTTATTTCTATTTTTAATCTTCCCTATCCCCAAGATTAGATGTATCCTATGATAAACACAAGGCTTGTTACGAGGACAGGATGTGGTGATGCTCTGCTCTCTAAATAAGTCACATAGGAGAGGTAGGACATTAAAATGACACGGTTTTCACTGCAGATCTGCTCTGAGTTGGAAGAGTCCTCCAGCTGGTCTCTGTCTGGTGAACTGGATGCTAGTGAGGGTCTCCAGGTCTACCACATTCCTATAAACACCTCTGCATCCTCCGGTACTCCTCCTCTGCTGGAGGAAGAGATCCGAGGCATCCTTAAGGACTTTGTGGACCGGCGGAGCTCTGTACTGGCCTGCCACCCGAGCAGTAGGACGTCTTCCACAGAGGGAGTAGCAGGCAGCGTGGAGTTCTCCCAGGGATCATCGGGTATCAATGACATGGATGGTTCTGACATAGAGAGAGCCGACGGAGGCAATGGAGACGTGGTGGCAATAGCAAGGTAAAAAAAAAGGATCTTGGGGTTCTTCACCATGGAATAACCATTTGAGTTCAAAATGGTCCCTCCTTTTTACCCCAAACATTAGGACAATTATTAGACAATGTTTTAAATGTTCCTAAATAAAATAGAGTGACTTTATATGCAGTATGGCACATACAGAGTTTGTCATTAGTCTCGAGAGTCCTTTGCACACAAATCTGTCGGCAGAAAGTCAGATCCAATTTGCCTAAATATTCAAAACCAGTTTCTAAAACTTGAGTTCAGTATTATTGTTCAGAAGAGCTCCGTAATTTACCACCAACAAAATTTAACCCTTGAATATTTCTTCAGTTTGTTTTTTTAACTGTTAGGGATTTTTAAAAAATGACTGTGATCTGTAATACACTTCAAATAATAACTTCTCTCTTTTGTGTTTTTAAAAAAGATCATTTCTGCCTCAGCAGTAACACTGAGTTTTGTCTCTCAGACCACCGGACCCAGCAGAATACAGAAAGATTCTGTATATTATATAAATGCTGTGATTTTAAATAGTTTTATGTTAGATTAAAGTAAAGCATTTTAATACTGTCTGTCTTTCCATCCAATGAGATTATATTAGAGGCATTTGAAATATTTCAATGTACACAAAACCCAAGTTTTAAAGACAAAATAAGTCAAACAAAGTGTAAATGCAAATGTAAAGTGTGAGTAAGGCCTACGCATAACGCCACAAAAACATCCTCCAGAAACTTGTTTTAATAAGACTCCTCCAGCAACCTCTTCTCTGGATTGAGCTTTTAAAGGTTTTTCCAGGACCCTCCAAGCAAGCAACGTTCTTTAAATATTTCCTTGAGGTTTTCATAATTTTAAGAGAGCAGTTTTGTTATTTGTTTTTTAACCAGTGTCACTGAAAATCCTTAAACTGCATATTGGTTATTAGTGATTTTTAAACAAACATTGACTTCAGTGACTGTGTTGTTTTGTCTCTGTAATCAGGGTGATGGCAGATGTTGAAGAGGACACAGGCGGTGTAGGAGTCAATGCTGGTGGGGAACTCGTAAGCCCTGACAGTGGGATGACCACCATTCGTAGCAGCCGGTCCTCCAAGGAGAGTTCAGTCTTTCTCAGTGATGACAGTCCAGTTGGTGAGGTTATAGCAGGTGGAGGTCCAGCAGTGGGACCAGGAGGAATCTTCCTCAGAAACCCCTCTCCTCTGGGGTTGTTATCTCTCTCCCCTCCTGTCCCACCTGAGAGGAGGAAGAACCGCTCCAGCAGGAATAGGAGTGACAACTTTGACCTGTTTAGTTTTGACCCATTACATAGCAGTGACCACTCTATGCCAGCAGGAGGGGAACTGCCAAGTTCTGGAGAAAGAGGAGATGAAGGCGAAAGAAGAGCAGGGAGCTCGAGCCTGTCAGAGCTTGAAGAGTTAAGCTTGCTAGATTTCTCTGCTCCAAACTCATTTGGAGGGCTCGAAAGTGGAAATTCCTCAATTGACCACCATGGTCAAATCCATGGGAATGAGATGCTTGACACTGTGGTTCCACCGACCCCAGTCAACAGCCTGGTAGGTAGCCGCCCGCCCAGCAGTTGTGGGGTCAGGTTCTTTCCAGAAGATGTAGTTGAAAGAATCAATGGCCTTCAGCACAAAGACAGTGTTTCATCGTCCTTGTCGGAGACATGGGATGAACTTGGCTTTGACACACAAGGAACATTATCCTCCAATGATAATATTGCCTGGAATAGGCTCAAAGACTCTGAGAGTCCCCAGAATATTGTGGAAGAGGTTAGAGGCAAAGAGTCACTCAGGGATACAACAGAAACAGAAACAGAAAGCAGAGAGGAGATCTTAAAGTCAGAAAATGTCCACCAGAAGGGAAAGAGCCTTGAACCACAGCTTAGTCTGATAACTGAGCAGACTGAATCGTATGACAACTGGAACACAGAGTCTGTACTTACAGATCAATGGAACACTGTTTCTTTGGCTGATCTACAACTGACACCACCAGAGGAGGAAGTAACTGGGAAATGGAAAGCTGGTATCATGAGAGCAAAAGAGAGAATCTCATCTTTGTCAAGTAAGAAAACAGTCGTAAACACTTTAACACCAGACACATCGAAAGAAGAGGACGAAGGGGTTCAAGGAAAAAAAAGAGACCTACAGATGGAGGTCTTGGACTTCTGGACATACACAGCTCAGAAGGGACTTCTCAAATCTGAAAGCAGAACCACCACGTCTTACCCTGAATCACTAGATATGTGGAATATGACAATCCGGGATGACAGTCTATCACCTCTCACAACTCCCGACAACTTGTCTGAAAACTCAGGTTCCTTCTGTGGGTTGAATCCCAATATAAAGAGTGGTACATCTGTTGAAAGTCCAATGGGATATGGTGGAATGGAGATGTGGAACACCACCATACAAGAAGACAGCTCTTCCACAGTAACAAGCCCGGAAGGACCTGAAAATGGAAAGGACCTTAGTCACATGGGATCGTTGGATGCCAATGATTCTCTTGAGACACATGCAAGAAAACAAACAGAAGAAGACAAGGTTATAGAGGAGGAACATGGCGAAGTTGATGAAGTTGGGTGGAGAGGTAATGAACACAATGTGAAAATAGTCATAGAGGCTGCAGAAGGTGGAACAGAGACTGAAGAAACAGGGGACGAGGACATACAGTCTGTCTCACAGAAATCAGCATCTGATAAAGAGGATCCCTCCTACCATGGCACTGACATGTGGGACTTACCTGTCCAAGGCATGGTCACCTCCACCTCTGAATATGACAACGTAGGAGCTGGTACATGGAGCGTGACATCTTCCCCTGACACCTTTGCTAGCCCTGTAGTAGATATGATACAGTTAGAGGGGGAGTCCAGCCCTTTTATGGCTGTGACCAAACCTATTCAGATAGATGAGAGGCAAAATCAATACCAGGAGGCTGATCCTCTGAGAAAGACCGAAGACAAAGCAGTGACAGATAGAGAGCAGCCAGCCAACCAAGTGTTCCTGTTTGAGGGAACTAGTGAGTTGGGTCACATGACCAGGAGTTGGGAAAGTTCAGTTGACAGTAAGTATGACAACAAAAGCAGAGCAGGATCAGAGGAGGCTGACTGGATAGAGCAACAAAGGGATCATTCCCCATTTGTTCTGGTGGACTCCTCCTACGTCACTCAACAAATTACTGAAAGTCCAGAGGAAGCTGCTGATCTGCCAATAAGATTGGCCCAAGACCAAGATGAGCCTGCTGTGGCTCTTTGCGCTAACAAAGAGAGCAATGGAAATGTGGAGGGCAAAATAACACAAGCTGCATCTCTGAGCTCCAGCCCTGGGATTGAGGGAGACACCCAGAACAGCCCTGACAGCCTTCACACAGGAAGTCAAGATAAACATGGGTCCAGTTCTGACGGAGATTCATTCTCAGGCTTAGAAATGGAATACATCATTGTGTCTGGCACAGTGAAAGAAACCCAGAGAGAGTGGCATGATAGGCCTAAACAGGGTGACAGGCAATCAAAAGGAGCAAGAAAGTCTATGGAGACTTTTAGCATGCTGTCCTATGCAGCCTCAGTACTGCAAAGTCAGGCCCAAGCTGCACATCGAGATCACCAGGAGAACACGCCGGAAAGTGGTAGTGCAGATAAAGAGCAAAATCAAGTTGTCTTACCCACTCACCACCAATCAAGTCTTGATAATTTCACTGAGCATCACGTGGCACCAGAGATAGTCAGATTCAGCCAGTCAAGAAGTAGCTCTGAAGGTTTTCATCACTCAGATTCAAGACCAACAGGTTGCAGTCAATCACAGGCAGAAGAAAGAAACAATGACAATGAATCCAGCTTCTCAACCCGAAGTGTGTCTCCATCATTAAGATATCCGTCAGACCACTTCCTGAAAACCAGAGAAGAAGTTTACGTCCATTCACAGATCTCAATGGAAGATTCGGACGAGGGCGGTCACTCACCATCTGCGCCTCCACCGTGTCCTGCTTCCATGGGTGACTTTCAAGTGTGGGGCGGTCAGCTAGTGAGACAGGACACATCTCAAACCACATCTGAACCACAATCCCCTGTACTCACCAACAGTTCGGTCTCCCACACCAGCTCTCTGATCGGCACCCCAGTAAGCGAACCGTGTGTTTCTACTGACAAAGGACTTGGATTACCATTTTCTGGAGATTTAATGGAAGAGGAGGAACAGGAGGAGGAAGCTGATGTGGAGTCCACAAGTCTCCCAAAATGGACTTCAGATGTACAACATGATACGGAAGAGAGAGAACAGTTGGGATCTTCTGATCTGCTGAGTTTTGCAGAGGACCCGATTGGAGGTTCTTCATTTCAGCAAACAGATTTACAAACGCTGGAACCAAAGAGGGAGGGATTTTTTCAGAACAGAGTGGATTACTACGACGGACAACCTATAAGGACTGAAGATCATGATAAATGGTCTATTGAACAACAGACTGGAGACCATGGAGATCCTCACGATATTTATTCACCTGGTTTAAGGTAAGCAAAACACCAGAAATCACATACTTACGCCCTCTGTCCTGATACAGCAGCAGAGAGAATTTGTGCTGATATGCTATTAGGAATGGTGTAAAAGTGTCTTTGCAGTAATCATGCTTTTGTTCATTGTAGTCTTTTCTGTTCCTCAGCTGCTCAGCACACACACACACACACACACACACACACACACACACCCCTCCCTCTTACTTTCCCTTAGTTCTATAGTGGTTTTTTTTTGTCTCTACGGTTTTCTCAATGGAGTCTGTCAGAGGAATATTAGCATCACTGAACAGACTGCCAAAATCGAGCTCAAGGGCTCTCCAGAGGAACTGAGTCTGGTGATCCGTGTGTTTGTGTATGCATGTGTGTTGGATGGATTACTGACAGACAGAATGAATATCAGTGGTGTGACAGGGACAGATCATGTCCCTGTAAATAATATGTAGCATACAGTATGTGTGAGAAAGAAACAAGCTGCAAGTGCATGTGGGTGGGTTTCATGTGTTCAGCAGCAAGGTTTGATCTGCAGCTCTGCGTGTGTGTTTATAAATCTGTTTACGCCTCATTAAATATGCATTACCTGCCTCATTACAGCTGGAGCCCCACCACAGCTAATGGAAACAGCTCCCCTAGCTCTCTTGCAAGGTGTTGGTGTGAGTGTATGTATGCAACTTTGTGTGGGAGTGTATGCATATGTAATCGCCAGTGCAGCAGAGAATAAAAGTTGTCCATGTAGCTTCAACTTTGCATTAGCAAAGAGTGCATAAATTAGTTATGTGTGTTTGTCTTAGTGTAATTGTTTTTTTAAATTATACTGTATGTAAAACAGACTGTTTGAGATTACTGAAAACGGTTTTATATAAGTGAATGACTTTTAACTTTAGGCTATAAAGCAGAACTCTTATTTCATTCTTTTTTTGGTGGATTTAAACATTCACGGAGTTTCAATGTAAACAGGCAAACTTTTTCTTTACATTCAGGAAATAAAACACACACAATGTGCTCGAGGTCTAACGAATGTGTGTATAAATACGCATTTCCTTCCCTTAAAAAAACACAACTTAAATAAAAAAAAAATGGTGCATGTTTTTATGGCCAGCGGTCCTCTTTCCCCTGCTCTTGTCAGGGTATTGCTGTGTTTTTTGGTGCATTGCTGCCACCCGTGGATTTGTGAAATAATGGAAGGATTTTGTATCACCTGTGCGCTTATGTGCACACACGGGGGAAGAAACAAAACAGACACTCAAACGCTGCTCCAAAGTGCCATTAGCGGTCAAAAACTCCACATCATTCTGTTAATGTAACACTCGGATATTAAGACACACCAGTCCATTGAACAAGCTGAAGAAGCTGCACAATGAAAATTAGATTCTGTCACAAAATGGTCCTAATTAGAGTACACTGGCCATTTTACAGAGTTTGAATGCATTAGATACATGCATTTATGTTGCACCCAAATATATTGTACAGATGAATGAGATGGATAAATGTCAATGTACTCCATGTGTATTTAATTCTTTTTGTATTTCGTTCTCTCTGCTCTGATCCCTGATCCCCTTTACCTTCAACAAGACTCCAAGATGTGACATCGCAACCGACCGCTGAAAATGCTGCGTACCAGTGGAGAGGAAGTCAAAACACAACTCAGGGTCAAACCCAATACGGCTACAACTACCACCACATTGACCAAAGAACTGAAAACCAGTGTACCTACCCAGCCTGCGCGGATACCAAATCCAGCAGTCACCACAATACCACAGATGTCTATGCTGAGTTTACAACTGATGCCGCAGCTATACAGTACAGATCTGAGCAGACTGAGAACTACTTTGAAGCTGTAGTTACCCCCCAGTACAGCCTGGGTGATGACGCAGGTTTCCAGTGTCACTATGTAGCTGAAAGCCAGTATATATCTGAATCCACGCCTGAACTCCACTACTCTCAGGATCACGCTACAGGCCAGAGTCAGTATGAGTCGGACCATGCTCATTATCAGGTTGACGGACAGCCATTCTACCAATCGGATGTCCACACTGAGAGAGAAGACCATGCACGGTATGTGCCGGAGGGATATGTTCACTTTCTTCTGTCAAGGTGAGCTTTCACTCATGCAGACTTAGTTGTTCCCCACAGGGATCAAATAATATGTCTGCTGGCAGGCGAGCATTTACGAGACAATGTTCTTACTGAAAATGTTTTCTTGATCTCTCTGAAAACCTGAAACCAGATCGTAGAGGTTTTCTGACAGAGTGGTGATGGTCATGAGAGGATCTGGACTGGTTTTCAGAAACCTGCAATACCGGTGTTAACCACAAAGAGGCAGCACAGATCAATTTGGAATAGAACAGAAATAGAAAGAAAAATACTTTATTTATCCCAGGCCTGGGAAATTATTGTGATACCGCAGCAAAAAAGAAAAAACACCAATCATAACAGAAAAGGGTGAAATACTATTTAAAGAAAAATAAAAATAAAGTGAAATAAAAATAAAATAACTGTACAAAATGTGCAAATTGAAAAAAACAGTGCAAAAGACAAAGGATTTTACAGCGCAGAGAGCTGAGAATGCTCTCTGTCAGACAGAGGTGAGGTGTTATAAAGGGCTGTTGCTCTGGGTAGGAAAGATTTCCTGTACCGGTCCTTGTGACAGCGGAGCTGAATCAGTCTGTTTGAGAAGGAGCTCCGCTGCCTGTCCAGAAGGGGGTGGAGAGGGTGGTCGGGGTTATCCAGAATAGATAACAGTTTGTTCAGAGTCCTCCTCTCCACCACCGCTTCCATGGTGTCCGGTTTGCAGCCGATTACGGAGCCAGCCTTTCTGATCAGTTTGTTTGTCGCTGGCTCCGATGCTGCCTCCGATGCTGCCTCCCCAGCAGACTACAGCAGAGAACACTGCACTGGCAACAACAGACTGATAAAAAATGTTCAACATCTTGCTGCACACACCAAAGGATCTCAGCTTCCTCAGGAAGTAGAGTCGGCTCATCCCCTTCTTGTATACAGCCTCAGTGTTGATCTTCCAGTTTAATCTGCTGTCAGTGTGGACGCCCAGGTACTTGTAGTCCTCCACCACTTTAATGTCCTCTCCCAGGATGTTCAATGGCTGTGTGGTCTCTTCTTCCTGAAGTCGATCACCATCTCCCTGGTCTTGGCCACATTCAGGAGCAGATGGTTCCTCCCAGACCACTCCACAAAGTCACTCACCAGTGCTCTGTACTCCTCATCCCGTCCACCACGTACACACCCAACCACTGCAGAGCCATCAGAGAACTTCTGCAAGTGGACCAACTCAGAGTTGTACTGAAAGTCTGAGGTGTACAGGGTGAACAGGAATGGAGAGAGCACAGTGTCCTGTGGGGCTCCTATGTCACTAAACAACACATCAGACAGAGCAGCTCCAAGACGGACAAATTGCGGCCTGCCTGTCAGGTAGTCAGTAACCCAGGAGACCGTGGGTGAGTCTACCATCATCGTCTGCAGCTTCTCCCTCAGCAAAAGTGTTCCCAGACCTGAAGTCCTTCTTCTTCTTGTTGAGGAGGACTTTCAGGTCACTGGTGACTCAGGGTTTATTGTTTGGGAAGCAGCGTACGGTCTTGGCTGGCCGGGTGATGTGTTCACAGAATTTTATGTATTCTGTGATGCTGTTGAGGTCCTCCCCATGTGGATCACATAGCACTCCCCAGTCAGTAGACTCAAGCAGTCCTGCAGGGCCTCTTTGGCCTCCTGATTCCACCTCCTAACAGTCCTTGTGGAAGCAGGCTGCCATTGCACAAGAGGAACATACTTTGGTGTCAGAAGGACCAGGTTGTGATCAGATGTGCCGAGTGGGGGGAGGGCAGCGGCACTGTATGTGTCCTTTGCATTTGCTTTTTTTTTTTTTTTTTTAACCGCTTATCTCTGTAACTGAGCAGCCAAAGATTGTCATATAAAGCCTAAATAAGCAGGTGGAGAAGGATTGAATTTGAAAGTGAATCCAGATTCTAAAATTTAGTTTACTAATCCAATAACGAAATGGGAGTGGGGATATGGCTGTACAGAACCGTGTCTGTTACTTGCTGGTAGCAGGACAACAGGTCACTGGGGTTCAATTCAATTCAATTTTATTTGTATAGCGCATATTTACAACAACAAGTCATCTCATAGCGCTTCACAAAGGCAGAGACAGAAACACCCAACAATCCAAAACATTTGGATTCCCTATAAGCTTCAGCAGTCCGCAAGCAGTCCACAACAGTGGGAAGGAACCGAAAACCCCCACAGGGGAAAAAAAACTTCCGACAGAATCAGGCTCAGGGAGGGACGGCCATCTGCCTCAACCGGTTGGGTGAGAGTGGGATGAATTATACAATTTAGTTTACAGTTAAACAAGTTATTAGAATTTATTGTCCTTTTGTAACAGGAGGCATCATGGTGGGGTTGCGGTCTGATCTTATATGACAGGTTCACATGTCTTCAAGTCTGTCTCAAAACAATACTCAGATGTGTCTGTCTTGCTGTAAAGGAAGAGATGCGGGACCACATCCATCCATCTTTTTCCATGAAAAATATCTCGCTCCAATCCACAGACAGGGCATTTGTCATAATATGGCTCACCCAAAGTCTATTTTTTTCTTGATGAAATGTCAAAAACAATACTGTTCGGCAATCAATATTCAATGTTTGTGTGTACGTATGTATGACATGTACGCTGAGCATAGTGTACATGCATTTGTGTGAGCGCGTACATACTGCATTTTACTTGTTCCTATTAACAGATGCATCGTGGTGCGTTATTCGCCCCACTTTGTAATTCTGATAACCCGCCCCCTCTTTGGGGTACATGACCCTCCCCTGTCTTTTTACTCTGTGTGTGTGTGTGTGTGTGTGTGGTTGCATGCATACACAACAGACCTTTCCATAGTCAAGTGGTCATGTGACCTGATTGTGGAAAGAGTGGTTCGGTCACTCATGCTGGGAAAAGAGAGGATGAGGGAAAGGTAGGTGCCTGAGACAAAGATTGTTTAAGAAAAAAAGAAAAATCCTTGTGTCCATGTGTGTCTTTGTGTCTATAATCATGTGCACTGGTCTCTCTGTACTGCTTCTCTCTATTGTTAGCGGGCTGTATGCTAATCAGAGTCTGTTAGAGGGGCTTTGGTTGGGGGGAGGTAGCAACACTGCTCAGTATTGTTTCCTCAGCCCACACGTGCAGCCTGGGAATGAAGCAGTGAGTTCGCTTCACTCCATCCGCTTTGTCACTTCTGTAATCTTTTATGTCCACAGTCAAATGAACAGATTTTCAACTCTTCCTGATCCAATGTCATGGGAACAGTTAGATACTTTGACTTTGTAGATGGTTGTCTTTGGCTTATTTGGCCCAATATTGTGTGTAGTTGTGCCTCTGGTGGCAGTGGCTATAGCAGTAATAGTTTATGTTTTGGCTCATTACTGTCTTTCTGTGCCTCTGAGCAGACACTCCCAACAGGGAGCTGGTGCAGCGGAGATGATGATGAAGACGGCCTCCAGTGAGGAAGCTGCTGACGAGGCAGACGACAGACAAGGTAAATAAACAGACAGATAAACTAAATTTGTGTATTATGTTGACTTTTGGGGCTGCAAGGTGGCTCGGTGGTTAGCACCGTTGCCTCACAGCAAGAAGGTCGCTGGTTTGGACACCCGGGATCTTTCTGTGTGGAGTTTGCATGTTCTCCCCGTGCAGCGTGGGTTCTCTCCGGGTTCTCCGACTTCCTCCCACAGTCCAAAAACATGTTGAGGTTAATTGGTGATTCTAAATTGTCTGTAGGTGTGAATGTGAGTGTGCTTGGTTGTCTGTCTCTAAGTGTAGCCCTGTGATAGACTGGTGACCTGTCCAGGGTGTCCCCTGCCTTCACCCTGAGTCAGCTGGGGTAGACTCCAGCCCCCTGTGACCCTAGTGAGGATTAAGCGGTGTATAGATGATGGATGGATGGATGGATGTTAAGTTTTTGGAAATTTGAGTTTTGGTGATTTTTTTTATAGAGGTGTAGTTTACTTTCTTGTTTCAACAGTCTAAAGAAATCTTATTTTTAGGGGGATTACTTGGATTTACTGACAGAAGCCTAATACAATCACAGCTCTACTCCCCCTTTTCATATAAATACTCTGCACTGCTCTGAGTTCTGTCTTCTGTTATGATAAAATCTCAGGTGGCACAGACCCACCTTCCTCAGCGGATATATCAGGCGGGTCTAATCAAAGGAGAAAGTTGGCAGCTCCACCAATGAACGTGTCACTGGACCACAGTGAGGGGTCTCTACTCTCAGAAGATGCCCTGGACACAGAGGATGAGGGCTTGGATACTGGGGATGACCTGGATGTCAACATCGATGACATGGACACACCTGATGAGGCTGACTCGCTGGAGTTCAACAGACACGGTGAGGCAGACACCATACAGACACAATACAAATATGTCGATGTGCAAATGGAAGATGACAGACCGGAAATGTACACAATAAAAGAAGATACATGGCTGCCTATTGTACAGCATTACAGCTCAGAAAGGACAGACATCTTCTGTATGTATGTAGTTGTTGCAGCAAGCATAATTTGTACATCTCACCTTCCTAATATGAGGAAAAGTTCAAGAAAATGTGAAAAAAGTTCAGGTCTTTCTGCACCAGCCTCTCGTCAAATCAGTCCTTGGATTCGTCAGAATTCTCTTTACTACATTTTATCCATACAATAGAAATCAAAAAGTAAAAATGTATTTAATTTGTTTCTGTGTCATCTTGTGGAACCTTCCTGATGCTACAAACAGAGGACTCAGAGGAGTCGAATCTGGGTGCAGGAGCAGCATCAGGTGATCCTGTGGCGGGCCACGGAGCAGCTGAGGAGAGCAGGGACAGTCGGCTGTGGAGGAGCGTGGTGATTGGAGAGCAGGAGCATCGCATTGATATGAAGTGCATCGAGCCGTTCAAACGAGTCATTTCTCATGGAGGTAAACAAACACTACTGCTTAAATAATCTCTGCTGCTGTCTTGAAATCCCTCCATTCAGTTGTATCTTGCTGTTTTTGTCTTTGGTTGAATCACATATTTACTAAACGCTTTGAAAACTTTTATTTTATGACGAACAGTTTTACTGTGTTGATAAATTCTGAATTGTTTCATTCTGGTTTAACTTAGTTTTGTCTTTGCTAAACCCCAGCTGTCATACTTCACCTGCCGCTTCTCAGATTGAGATTCTGCTCGTGGAATGGAAATGGTCACAGGATCTAAATATCTCTCAACTGTGGCAATGAGCTGTAATACACTGTAATAAAAGAAGTAATGAAATACAAGGAAACAGAGGTTACAGAGAGTATGATTGGAACTTTTCTTGCCCTAATATGCATTTGAATGATGGAACTCGCAGTACATCAGTTCCAGGGGAGGAGGGGAGGTCTTACTCAAACACCTAACCTCCCCTGATCCATGTGTAGAAAGAATAGCATCTCTATTGTTATTATTTGTGCTGCTATAACTGAAGGGGCCTGGAGTTAGTTGATCCAAAATTATTCATTTGCTGTGTATGAGGACAATAATAGTTTAGAAATCCAAGAAGACATTTTCATACAGGATGAAAGGTTTGCACATATGCACTACAAGTCAGAGTGTGACTTTCCTCTTTGTGTTTAATGGTTTCAGGTTATTATGCTGAACAGAATGCCATCATCGTGTTTGCAGCATGCTTCCTACCAGACAGCGACTGTGACAATTACAACTATGTGATGGAAAACCTTTTTCTGTAAGTAGTCGACAATATCTGAGCATTACACCCACGTCTCATTTTAAAACCACAGGCATTCATTCTGCAGCTAAACTAAACTTGGAAAACCATTGATTTATGGCTTTCTGCACATCACTCTTGTTATATATGTACAGTCGTCCTCAAATGTATTCATACCCTCCCATTTAAGAAAAGGCAAAATGCACAATAGTCCCTCAAATAACTAGAAACTGAAAAAAGTAATAATAAATAAAAATTTGCTAAATTATAATCTAGTGAAATATGACATTGCTTTTGAATTTTGGTTGAAAAGAATCATTAAAAAAAACAAAAAAAAACGAAACTGTCCCGGACAAATTAGAGCACTGTGCTGATGAGTAGTGGGCCAAAATCAGAATACCTGTCAACAGGTGCACAAGTCTGATTTAGAGTTACAGAAAACACTTGATTGCAGTGATTGGCTCAAAGGGTTGTTCAACAAAATATTAGTTTACGGGTCCCATCATGCTTTTTTGCTTAATTGTATAATTCCGGACCTTTTCATATAAATGATGTGCATTATAGCACTGAATTAACAAGGTCATTGGCTTTCCGTTATGTTGCATTCTACCACCATCTTTTCTCATTGTCTCTATGTGTGTGTGTGTAGGTATGTAATAAGTACATTGGAACTGATGGTGGCAGAAGATTACATGATTGTCTACCTGAATGGCGCCACTCCTCGCAGGAGGATGCCTGGTTTTACCTGGATGAAAAGATGCTACCAAATGATAGACAGAAGGTAATGTTTGCACAAAGAAATTCACAGTTCATGTAATGCATAATCTTGCATAAATGTGATATTCAGCATTCTTCTGCAGTTTTGTTCTCTGATCAGAAATTTGATTCCATATATGTTGTGTTTCATTGACATTATATTATATTCTGGTGTTTTTCTGTAAAGCAGACTATCCTGAAGAAGTTCAAATATTAGTACACTTGTTTGATGACAAATGAAGAATCTAAAGCAAACCTGAATGAGCAAAGTGACAGTCAAATCAGGACCAACCGTGAAATCATACTCTCTATTTACAAGTGCCAATGTACCAACTTAGTGTTGTTGTGGTGCTCATCAGTGGAGGACTGCGTGTGTATAATGGAAAATACATGTAAATGTAAATCCTGATCATCCATGATGATTATTGTCTGTGCAGATTCTCAGTCATCCAGGTCATGGTTATTCTGGTAGATTAATTGTAGCAACTGGACTTGCTTGAGTTCCTTGAAGACGTTTCACATCTCATCTAAGTGGCTTCATCAGTTTAGACTGACTAGTAGGGAGTTCCAGATACTTATATCCTAAAGGAGCCAATAACACCTGAGTTTTGGTTTCAATTGGGGGTTTGTTGCTCCTCCCCCTCATTATGTGAGAATAACCATGAGAATCTTCACAGACATGTAAATGTAAAGAAAACACTGTGCATCTTTCTTTCAACTGAGATTAACTGAAATTTAATGTTTCAGTTAAGGTTGTGTGATGAACTTATTCTGTTCTATTGATGTATGATATCTGATGAGTGTCGGTGACGTCTACCTTCTATAAAAGCCTGTAACACGTCTATCACCAAAAATACAGAAACAGAAGCTGCTGTATCAGTTAACAAAACTTGACTATGACCTAAATGTTCTGTATAAATTCAGTGATTCTTCCGGTTATTATTGTTATTGTTATTATTCATTTATCTTTTCTTAAATCTAGTTATTACAGAAGAGGTATATTAATTACCTGTTATATTTTTTTTATCACAGCAAGACGTAGCTAAGTGAGTTAACTAGTAACTTGTTTTAGTTTTATGATCTGTAGATATATGACTTCATTTCTTCAGATAAATCTTTGTACCATGTTTTTGGTTATGACTAAACCCTCATTCCATTACTTGCTTTAGCACAGTGTGTACTGTGTGTGTTTCCATGTGATTATTTGCAGATTTAATTCACCAAGTAGCTTTTCATTGTGACGCAAATGTAGCAGTGACACTTTTGGTTGTAAACAGTGTGGGCTGTTGTTATTCTACTCCACTTTTAAAGTCTACTTCATGCCTTCCTATAAGTATAGATGATAATTACTGTTGTATTATTCTAAGTTAGAGTTATCAGGGAAATTCTGCTAATCTTCGCTGCCTCTTCTACCTCTCTCCTTGTTCCACAGACTAAAGAAAAACCTGAAGATGTTCATCATTGTTCATCCTTCCTGGTTCATACGGACATTGCTGGGAATCACGAGACCCTTCATAAGGTCTTACTGCTGTAATTTATATGTAGCCAGCACAAGATTTACATTAGAGCTCTTCATATTTACAAAAAATGCATACTATTGACATGTTTTTACAGATTACTATATCTATGATCCCAGAACATCCTCGACAGAAATAGAACTCATCATTAAATAACAGCATGTCCGTGCTGGCCTTTGGTCATTAGACACCAGCACAAATCAAAACCTTTATTCCTGTAACGCTTTACAAAAAGACAGTTTGACTACGTGGGATATCCAGGAGCCAATTCACTTCATTTCAATGGTGCGTATAACCCACTTTGCTGAATCAAATCTGTATGATTTCTGGCTTTTACAGCTCCAAGTTCAGCAGTAAGATCAAATATGTGAACAGTCTGCGGGAGCTTGGAGAGATCATCCCAATGGAGTACGTCCACATTCCACCCAGCATCATCAAGTGAGTCCGACTCTATCAATGTTTAATGTACGAATCTGCACTTTAGTTCTTTGTTGGCCGCACAAGTTGGAAGCAGCAACATCTACACTGTGGCATTTCCACTTTGTCTGAGTAACTTGCTTGTGTTGACTTGATTATTTCAAAAGATACTGCATATGAATTGTGTTACATAATGAGTTAGCTCGCCTCTCATCCCCCAGAGTGGTTTTGTTAAATAGCACTTCTCTCTTGGCCGTTTCAACTAGAAATTAAAACCTATTTATCAAGTCTCTCTGCACGAATCTTTTGTTTTCTCTTTGTAGATTAAACAATTCTAAGCATAATATATACAGTATGTGTTGTCATATTGCTGCAAGAATGATGGATATTTTATCTCAGTATACAAGATGTGTTTGTGTTTTATCTTGACTTTCATAGGTCATGGTCACGGATATATGCTGTAATTTCTTCTGTAATCACGTTACACAGACAAATGCGTTCTTAGCAGGTCTACTCTAGAAAGCACATTCTTTAGAAATGGTCAACAAACACAACAGCAAACTTTTTTTCCAAAGTGCCTAAATTAGGCATGTTTGTACATCTCTCACTCTGCCCCAAGGTATGACGAGGAGAGGGCTATACACAAATTTGCATGCATGAGGTAAATCTCCTAACCTGCCTGTATTGATCAGTTGGATATGTAAAGGTCTCCCTGAAAATCCTTCAGTGCTGTTATGAATTTTCTCGTGCTGGGACTAACCTTTGACTAACCTTTGGCTGTCTTCTTATCCAGCATAAAAATGAGCCAGATATTGATTTTCTTATTTCTCTCAGTCTGTGATGTGGCTTTTGCTGTACACTAGTTAATTTTACCGCTCACGTGTGACATTTTTAGTAGAAATTTAATGAACATTGAGTGTAGACTCTGCAGTAGGTTCCACTAACAACCAAATAAACACAGCTACTCCCAAAGGAGGGCTGGTCTGATCTTAGGAGGAATTAGAAAGGAACAGACTCGGAACAGGGAAACACCACTAACTTTCTCTGTTAGTACGAATCGGTGCAAAGGGTCTGAAGTTTCGGTGGACACATGCTTGACTTTTTCATAATTGGCAACAACATCGTTCCGCAGTTTAGAAAATCAGTTTGTAACTAACTACTTACTTTATGCAAGTTAAGCAATTAGCCAGAGGCAGCTACACTAAAAGATATATTTTCAAATCCTACACATATTAAGGTGTCATATTTCGGGTTGGTGAAGGTTAGGGAAGGATAGGAAGTGCTGCAACAGTACTTTGCCACTGAGAAGACATTCACGTACATGCTTACTGGTCGCACATCACATCAGTGTAAACTTTAGAACAAATGACCGACGCTGTTGTTTTCTGGTGAGGATAGAGATATGAGATTTTATGCTGCCTGGTGAGCTATTTCTGCACAGATCTACATTGTTAACACTGTCGATAGATCAGTTCAAGCAAACATCCGCTTACTTACACTTTGGTGGATTAAAATGGAGATGAAATTATGAGAAAACCCAATCCATGACCTTTGTGTCTGTGAGCCAAATACTACTGAGCATGTCTGGAGTCTGAAACATACCGAATGACTGTACAGAATGAAGTGTTTAAATGTTTGAGGGTCTCATATGGACTCTTTCGAGGAACATCCTTGCACCCTATGCATTGCAAAGCATTCCTTTGACCTTGACCTCTCTCAGTGCTTGTTTTCCTTTCCTTCTATTCCTCCTTCTGTGGCAGTGTGGATACAGGCTACTAATCCCCAGCAACTGCATGTGCACTGATAATACAGTCGCCCTGTCACTTCTGAACCTCCCTCTCTAACTTTTAATCTCTGCCTTCCAACCCAACGCTTAACCAGACTGGATACAGAATTGCAGGACACAGCAGCTAAGTAAGTGGTAAGCCATCGTTCTTTGTCAGTGAGTGAATTTAACAAACCGCTGACGCCTCTAGCGGGAAAAGTTTGTCCATAAAAAACAAGGTATTGTCCTGATCGAAGAGTTTACCAACAGAGGTAAAGAAAGAAAGATGTACATGTAACTGCTACTAGAACTAGTAGAACTTTGGTAATGTGGCACATTTCACTTTCCTAACATAAGCATAGCATAATCTATATTTGGTCAACTAACTACAAGACAGACACACACACACACACACACACACACACAGCGGCACTGATTTAAATAAGGCAACATTTGATATTTTCGCTTAACATTTTCAGCTAATTTAGTTGCAGGGTGACAACAAATGAAGATAAACTCTTTAGC